GTCTCACTCTGTCACCCAGACTGGAGTGCAATGGCCGCTCCCGGCCACTGCAGCCTCGACTTGCTGGGCTCCAGCGATCCTTCCGCCTGAGCCACCGAGCCTGGCTGTATGATATTTTTATTATTGGCAGTTCAATGGATAATGGAGGGGATAAGGCTCTTAGAAGCTCTGGAGAAGGTGTGAGTGAAAAGTGTCCAGAAAGGACATAGAAAAGGGGATTCGTTTACAAATCATCTTTCATGTAAATTTTTTTTGTCAAGATGTCTACTGGCCGGGCTTGGTGGCTCAGCCTGTAATCCCGCACCTTTGGGAGGCTGAGGTGAGTGGATTGCCTGAGCCCGCGGGTTTGAGACCCGCCTGGGCAGCGAGACCTCATCTCTACAATAAATCAAAAAATTAGCAGGGCATGGTAGCGCATGCCTGTAATTCCGGCTACTCGGAAGGCTAAGGCGGAAGGATCGCTGGAGCCCAGCAGTTCGAGGCTCCGGCGGCCGGGAGCGGCCACTGCACTCCAGTCTGGGCGACAGAGTGAGACCCCAACTCAAAAAAAAAAAAAGATGTCTACTGAATATTCGTGTTTTGTTATTATAAACTGTTGATTGTCCAGTTGGTTTTAATTACTCAAAATTTCCGAGATTTTTTTCCTTCCTGCCAGTTGGTATAGGCTGAGGAAATGCAAAGTAATTTGATACTAGTCTAAAGACAAAGTTATAAGGGTAACTTTAAGGTTAAATTCCCCCACATAGGGAAAAATTGTTTAATTCCCAAATCAATCATCATCATCGTCAACACTTATATAGCACTATGTTATGGGTGCATTACTATCCAAGAATCAAATATGTAAAGCACTAAGACCGGGCGCGGTGGCTCAAGCCTGTAATCCCAGGAGGCCGAGGTGAGAGGATTGCCTGAGCCCACGGGTTCGAGACCAGCCTGGGCAACTTGTTGAGACCTTGTCTCTACAATAAATCAAAAAAATTAGCCGGGCGTGGTAGCATTTACCTGTACTCCATCTATTTAGTAGGCTGAGATGGAAGGACCACCCGAGTGCAGCAGGTCGACGCTGGGGCGGCTGTGAGTGTGCCACTGCACTCCAGCCTGGGTGATGGAGTGAGATTCCAACTCAAAAAATAAAATAAAATAAAATAAAAATAATCATCATCATCATCTGCAGCAGCAGCACTGATGTAGAACCATGTTATGGGTATATCACTGTCCAAGAATCAAATACATAAAGCACTTCAACATTTCACTCATGTAATTTTCAAATCAGCCTTATCTATTAGCTACAGGTATTGTCCCTTTTATAGGAAAAGACATTGAGACACAAAAGAGTTAAATGATTTGTCCAAGTTTATGTAACTGTCAAGTGTTGGAGCCAGGCTTCAACACAGGCCACCTAAGCTAAGTCTGAACTCTGAAACTGCCTCTCCTCGGAGTGGGCATATATGTTAAACCTTATTTATTCTGTATTATTCCTGTTAGTGTAACTGTCATTAGCTAATCAGCAGATAGGCTTTAGTGTTATTTAAAAAGTGTTTTTGCAGCTATCCTGTCTATAAGTATTAAAAAATAGAAATAAAATATAGAGTATTTTAGATGTTGTAAAAATAATCTCTTTCAAAAATATCCTTTGCCCAGTCTTTTTTTTTTCCTAAGGAGGGAAGAACTTAAATAGTGATTGTATATCTCTGGTTTTTGACCTCTCTTCTGAGCTCCTGACCTATAGTTCTAACTTCTCTAACAACGTGTTAGTTATTTTTATCTAGAGCTTCCTGGGCAGCTCAAGCTTTATCTGTCTTTCACTGAATTCACCATTGTTTATTTTTTTTAAGGAATAAATCTTTCATTGACCAATTATAGCACATTTAAGCAAATTTTTTAAAAAGTAATTTATGCTTTTAAATAACTGAGATGCCTAAAAGTTGGATGTGAGCTTCAGAATTAAAATGATGTTACCAGGACATCTCTCTCTTCGTCTTAAGAGATGGATTCTTTCTCAGAGGGATTCTCAGTACCTGTTGTTAACAGTGGCCATTGGGGTCTCCATGTTTACCATCATCAGTTTATGTTTCCAGACTAAAGCTGTGTCACTCACTTCCTCTGCCCCAGAATATATATGCCAGTCTTCTGAAAGAATCCTGGTTGGTTAGCTTGGGGCACCTGCCTATATTGATAACCCATCAAAAGTACATTGAGTGGGGCAAGCAGGATAAGCAGGTCTCTCTCCATTATAAAACACTTGGTGTCTCCAATCCCTGATACCTGTCTCTTTTATTTTCTACCACCAGAGAGATCACAGTCTTTGCCCAGTATTGCAAGTACTGAGGGTCCTTCTCACTCTGTCTCTTTACTTTTTCATTTAGTTAATTATTTAACTGGTTTTGTCATGTCTATTTCTCAAACGTCTCTTGAATGCTTCCTGTTTTTATCACATGCACTGCCAGTGGCTTCACTTATGCCTTCACCATTTTGTACCTGGATAAATACATGATTATACCAGCTGGTGCCTTGTCCCCAGTATCCTTTACTTTATGGTTGTTGGAGTGATCTTTCTAAAGCATTCATATGGGTAGAGTATTTCCTCAGTTAACACATTTCAGTGATTTCCCATTGCCTGCCATTTTGAAATATAAAAATTTCCTTAGCCTTAGACGTGGTATAAAAAACTGTTCATGGTCAGACGGGACTCCAGGTTACTTCTGCCATTTTGTATGCGTTATCTTTGCCCACACTTTGTTTTTCTCCAGTTATGCAAAGTACTGGAAGTTTTCCAAATACTCCAAGCTTTTTTATTCCCTTCTAATCGTGCTATTGTTTTTGCCCAAAATGTTTTTTTACTTCTTTGCCTCTGTGATCTCTCTTAGTTTAACTTGTTTTTCAGTGGCTTACCCTAACTGTATCTATCATCCTTTCACAGTATCTTGTGTACTTCTTAATGGAATTTTCATTTTTGCCTTTTTATTGGATATGAAATCATCAAGGGTAAGGGAATGTATCTTGTTAATTTCTGAACCATTCATACTGTCTTACTGTGTGAAGAAATAAGGGAAAGCTCAACATTTTTGTATCTATTATAATTTTTTTTTTTTTTTTTTGGGTTGGAGTCTCACTCGGTTGCCCAGACTGGAGTGCAGTGGCTGCTCCTGGCCACCGCAGCCTCGACCTGCTGGGCTCCGGCGATCCTTCCGCCTCAGCCTTCCGAGTAGCCGGAATTACAGGCATGCGCCACCACGCCCAGCTGATTTTTTGATTTATTGTAGAGATGAGGTCACGCTGCCCAGGCGGGTCTCGAACCTGCTGGCTCAGGCAATCCACTCACCTCAGCCTCCCAAAGGCGCGGGATTACAGGCTGAGCCACCGAGCCCCGCTATAACTTATTAAATGTAGTACTTAACTACATTTAATCATAGGATACAGAGATAAAATGTACCTTAAAAATCTTGTCTAAACCTCTGAGACGTATAAATAAGATGAAAACAAACTTGTAAGTACCCTTTAAGCATATTCTTAAGCATATTTTCTTTGCTAAAATCTTGATGTTTTGAAACGTTGTCTTTTTTTTTATTTTATTTAACTGCATCAGATCATTGGTTTGAAATCATGGGTAAGAGCTTTAAAATTTTAAAATAATTGCTTTCATGGCTGGCAAAATAGAGTAGAATTGTGAAATGTTTGCTGTTGAATACTGGCATGACATTAGATCTAAAACCTATATGCAGCACTATGGTAACACTTGAATGGCCATTGACTAACCATCATTTTGTTCCGAATAGTACATTTATATGATGGAGGAGTAAGTGAAATCTCTAGAAACAGAAGCTAGGTGGAGATCATGCAGTGATATAACATGGGGGGAGGTTTGGTGCTGTATACTCTGGGTGCAATAAAAAATCAGGTAGCTTGTCTGTAGAGAATTTTAACACAATAAAAAAGCTGTTTTCAAGTCACTCATTTCTTTGTTATCACCATGTGCTGGCAATTCTAAACAACACTGGTGATAATCCATCCACAAGGCAGATAGTCCCTACCCTCTCCCTCCTCTTGGTGTGCCACTGGGACAACACATCTGTTCTTACTAGGATACGGTAGTCCTTCCTTATCCATGAAGGACATGTTCCAAGGCACCCAGGGAACGCTGAAAGCACGGATAGTACTGAACTCTTACATAGCTATGTTTTTTCCTAACATACATATACATGATAAAGTTTAATTTATAAATTGGAGTTATAAGAGATCACATAACAAAATAGAATAGTTATAACAATATACTGTAATACAAGTTATATGAATGTGGTCTCTGTTTCCGGTCTCTGTTTCTGCCTCTCAAATATCTTATTGTACTGTACTCACCTATTTTTGGACCACAGTTGACCACAAGTCACTAAAACCATGAAAAGAGGATGTGGATAAGGGGGAACTGCTAAACCCCAATTCTGAGTTTTCACTTTACTGTGACTTTTATATGTGTTCTCTTATCCCTATAACACACAGTTGCATTATATTTTTCAAATAAATGTGAAAACCTAAGAAAAATTAGATCAGTTGTTTAAATGACTTACTAGCAGTGATTACTCAATGGCTTTTTAATTTATCATAGATATGATATCTATTTTGTACCTGTATAATTGGCTTTCTTTTGTCTCCTAAGTGCCATTGTATGTGTAGGGCATTTTCTTTGGCTTTTAACTTATTTGTTTTAGAATTTAATTAGTGCAGGACATACTGTAAGGAGTTTTGTTTCTAGTTCATTAGATATTAACCTACAGCCTATATAATTTTCTCTTCTAGGGCATTCCTTTTGTAATATTAGATATGTACTACTTTAGAAGAATTCATATCTTAAAATGTAAACAATTGTAGTGATACTTATTTCAGCAATATTTTTATGATTAGCTTATACTTTTTTAAGGCTTTTGTGGTTTATTTAACCATAGAATGTATAAAGTTAAGGAATAACTCAACTGTATTTTAAAGGCAGAAAGAATGGTACAAATGGCATCACCATGGGACTAGAGCTTGTACTAGGCATATTGTTAATATATATGTTCTGTGTTATTGTGCGGTAAATTGGACTATATTCACTTTACTAAGGCTAAATTGAATTATCTAATGTTAATTTTGGTCACTGAAATTTATTAATGTGGCTTCTGGTAGAGCTAAAAACTGTACCTTTGTTTCCTTTTTATGTTGTATATTTGTGTTCTTCAAACCTTGAGAGAAAAGGACTTTTAGTAATTGATTCATAATTTTTATGAAATTATTTTCATTTAAATGAAAGCTTATAATTATCTTAAAAACATGACTTTCCTTTTTCTTGAACTAGAGTCGAGTATGCCCATTTCTTATAGACCCTTCTTCCCAAGCTACAGAATGGTTGAAAACACACTTGAAAGACTCACGTTTGGAAGTTATTAATCAGCAGGTATGTATTACTTATAATTTATATATTAACTAGGAATGGCATCTTATAGTGAAAAGAACTCTAAGTCTATAGTCAGAAAACATAGATTAAAGACTAAGCCCTATAATTTACCTGGTTTGGAACCTGAGGAAGGAAATATAACCCTCTTAACCTCAGTTTTCTAATTTGTCAAAAAGGGATTTGAATACTTATTTGGTGCTAGGTATTGAACTATGCTCCTGGAACTTAATAGTGAATAAAGAAGTACAGTTCCTGTCTTCTTGAAGATGACAGTCTGGTCGGCTGGAGAGACAGTTCAATAAGCCTTTGCACTAAATTGTGATTAATGACACAAGCTATAGAAGTGAGATTTATTAACGTAGCTTGGAGAATCAGAAAAGTCTCCTGGCTTTTAGCTTGTTTACAGTTTCTCTCAGTAACTCTCATAATTTCCTGTTTCTGTAGCTTACTAACAGGCATCTTTAATGTGTCCCAAGAGTTGACATATTGATCAGTGAAATATAATCATAGTCTTTTCAATAGTGACTTCTCACTGTCATATTTATCTTGCAGTGGATATTATTTTTGGTCAGGCTTTTTTTTTTTAAATGAAGATCTACTGTATGGTTAATTTTCATAAACATTCTTCAGGTGTTTGAAAAACTACCTCTGAAACCTACTTTGCATATAAATTGAGGGTAGCTACCTCATTTGTTTGTGGTAAGAATGATTGTAAATTAGATAAAATATAAAATACTTTAATCTCATTTGCAGTTTATGAGATCTTAATTATCAACCCAAATTATATATATATATTGTACATTACATATAATAATTTATGTAATTACTTATATAAATTACGTGTGTGTGTATAAAATTTTTTTTTTACCTCATTGCAGGCTTGGGGTGATATTTAAAACTACTCTTTCCCTAGCCAGAAAGTCTCAACATTTTTTATGAGGCATAGAATTTTATCTAAAGTTCCTTTTCAGAATGATTAGCCCCATCACACCAAAAAGTTTATTAGAATTTATCAACTTGCCTTTTCCCCCCCCACCAGTCGATGTGTGTTTCTGAACATAAGCAAAGTGGTTCTTATTAAATTAAAGTGTCTTATTTCATATAGAATTTTAAATTGTGTTTTTGTAACAAATTGAAATTGTAGAAAAACTCAGTAAGGGCTTTTGCATTGTGGGGATAGCGGAGTTATTCTTCAGTGAGTCTAGCATTATAGGCATGCACGATGGAGAAGAGATCAGCTTTGCAACACATGCTTGTAGTTAGCAGTTCTGTAACTTGTATACTTAAAAATTGTTGAATGCATCTCATGTGAAGTTATTTTTTACCACAATTTAAAACATGTTAAAATCTTTATTTTTCTTATATATCTATTTAAATTATGAAGTGTTTTTGATAGTTTATAAGTAGAAAAACAATCATGAATAATTTGAATTAGCTTGCATATTAAATTTTTAAATATTCATATTATTGCTGTTAATGTCTTCATTCATTATTTATAAGGATCTTTATAAATATTTAGGTAATAATGGAATTAATGTGTCATCTTTTTATTCTCACAGGATAGTAATTTCATTACAGCTCTTGAGTTGGCAGTTCGTTTTGGGAAAACCCTTATTATACAAGAGATGGATGGTGTAGAGCCTGTTCTGTATCCATTGTTGAGACGAGATCTGGCCGCTCAAGGTAAATATTTGACACTTTCCAAAGAGTATGGATTTTTAAAGTTTTCAAAGTAATTAAACCAGGTACAAGCTTCTAAGCCTCCTCATCCTGTGGAGTCACACATGATGTGCTTAATTCCCCCAGCAACTGTTTGTGACAACATGTGTGAGATGTTGTCCTCCAGGGAACCTCGTTAGAGACCTGGTACCTAGAGATTTTACTGGGGGCCATTTATGTACGCACCCTAACCTGAGCAGGTCGCCAAATTCCAGACTCCCCTAAGGAAAGCTGAGGTAGCATAAATCACATTAATTGTACAAACAGCGTAGGCACAGTGAACCACTTTCATCAGTTCTGAGAATGGTCGGAACTCTCCCGAAATCGAAGTTCCAGGAGATGAGTGTGAGCTAACCTTGCAAGCAGATCTTTTTGAGGATAGCAGACTCAAGATTGCTGTGTCAGCTCTTTTTTGTTCAGGAAACAGATGTTATGAGAAGAACTCTAGTACTGGGACCCTTGCCTTTGTAATATTATCCCCTTAATGTATCTGTGGGGATAAGGGCAGGGAATATCTAGGCTCCTGTGTAACAACAGCAGCTTTATAATGAAGAAAGTGACCTTGCTAGAATGAGGTTGCCTCCCAGAGTTCAGTCTCAGGTCTTCCTCTGGCCTTCTGTCAGAGCTCACTCGGATCTGCTGAGCTGACTTCTTGATGTGCTCTCTTAAAGGAGGTGGAAATTAACCATAAAGTGCTCTGAATGTGATATTCTTCATTCTGTATTCTGGTACTGAAGGGCTCATTAAGTAGAACTCTTCATGAGTCTGGGTGGTGGTAGGCTTTAGCAGGCTCTGAGGCATTGTTTGAGAAGGAGTGTTGACAAGGTCCTCTGAAGTTGAATCTGGTAAAGAGTGATGTCATGATTGGTTCACATTTGGAACCACTGTTTTGTATAGTTGAGAAAGGCTGTTTGTTCATTTTGTTCACGTCCATTTGGGTTTATGTGTTCGTGTCACAATTAGGAAAAGAGTTAACCACTGTCCCTCTCTTACTTTTTCCATCTTCTTCCCGGAGTTGGATGTATTCATGTCACACTGGTCTGTTGTCTTCTTTGAGTCCAGCCCAGGTTGCCCTTTTCCAGAATGATAAGTTCCTTATAAATTGCCATTTAGTCATCATATATTATCTCTGGGGACAGAGAATGGTGGTAGAACCACATAAAACAAAGTTTGCGTCCAAGTGTATTTATATCCCAGTGTCCTTAGTCTTAGCAGTATAAGCTGCATTTCTACCTACTGAGATCAAAGTAGATACAAATAATAGGCATAGAATATACTTCTCTTCTACCAATTTATGCTTTTCAAACATCTCAACTATATATTGATCAAAAAGAAGAGCAAAGTATAGTTTTTCCTCAAATTTCCATTTTTTTAACTTTCTGTTTCTATGTGCTTAGTAGCTTAGCCAAAGTAGAAGGTAGATAGATGTGCAGTTTGCAGTAGGTAAATAGTTGAAGACAGTTGGACCATCTAGCTATGTAGAAGTTGCTGAAGGAGAGGCTGGTTTAATCAGTAATCAGTTTAAGACATCATAAATATTTTTTGTTAGTCATCCCAGTCCTTTATGGTTATTTCATTTCCATGTTGAGTTTGAGTATGGAACCTGGAGTTAGAGTAGAGATGATGGCTGAGCACTCTTGCTTGGCACTTTTAGTCCAGATGCTTCTTTTTAGGCATGCTTGCTTCAGACAGGTATATGTATGTGCAGTGTAAAGGTTAGGTTTGTGATTAATTGTTGTGTCTGTTTCTAAAGGGTGGTTTTCCATATGCGTGCGTCTTTGGTAGCCCAGTTGGGTGTGGATGGCCTAGTGGCCTGAAGATTGGTGGGTGGTCAGTGTTTCTTTATCTGGAGCAATTTTGTGGTCCAGAGGAAACATTTGGCAGTGTCTGCAGACATTTTTATTTGTTATGGTTGGGTAGTGGGTATCTGTGCCAGAGACATCTTAAAATGCATAGGACATCTCCCCACAACAAATAGTTTTTCAGCACAAATTGTCAGTAGTGCTGAGGTTGAAAAACCCTAAGCTAGCTCACTAGTTCTAACCTATGAGTTTCTGTGCAGGTTTATTTTAGCTGGTCTCAGAGTAGCATGCTTTACAGCCAAGAGCACTACTTGAAGTCAACTAATTGTACAGAATATCCAACAGTATAGATTGCCAGAAGTGTTATGCCTGAGGTTAATGGATGGCTATGGCATTGCATTGGATTTGGTCTGTGAGATTATTTGTAGACACCTATAATTCTGTGTATCTGAAGGATACAGGGACCAAAGACAAGAATGATTTACGCTGTTTGGAGAACCTCCAGAGCTGCCTCTTGCAGGAGCTGTCATTCAAACCTAGCCTCATGTTTGTTGGCCAGGTGTAGCGGCTGTAGTAAAATTTCCAGATTTAGACTACGCCTCTTACAGCCAAGAGGGTATTCAGACATTGATTCTCTTTCTTTGTATTTAGTGGCTTTAAGGCCAGCAGTTTATCCTTGATGGGCTGTGGGTTGCCTCCTTGGACTATGTCCGTTTGGTAATTTGGTATCAGGGTTTCAGATTTGTCTTCATTTAAGTCTCATTCATCTTGAGTTGTGTTTGAATGGCATGTGATGCAATATGAACAGCTTCCTCAATGGAAACTTTTATGAACATGTTATCTGTGTGATGGAATGGAATTTGGACCTAAATGGTTGTTCTTATAACATTTTTGTTTATCTAACTTGAATGATGATATATCTCTGAAGAGGTTGGACCTATAAAGGTGTACTGCACATAATAGTTGAACTGATTTTGGTCTTCTTTCCAAACAAACATCAAAAAAAGAAATAATTAGTAATGATTAGTAATGTCTCAGTCTGCATATCAAGTATAAGTTATGGCAGCAATTTTTATAGCCATTGTTATGTTAGGCACTGTGTAAGTAGTGGTGGCCACTTTCTGGTTTAAGTTTCAGTGGTCATAGTAAATCTTTCAGCAACATTGGTTTTCTTTTTTTAATTTTTAAAAACGGGGGTACAGTTCAGTATTATGCAAATGTTCATTATGCAGGTACCATTGTTGATGAGGAGTGCCTCCCCCTGCAGATTCCCACTACTGCCAATCCCATGTCCCCTCTCTCCCCGCCCCCGACACTTTCCCACTACTGCCAATCCTTTTCTTATAATATTACGATAATTGTTCAAGGTCCTCTTATGAGTGAGAACATGGGATGCTCAGTTCTTTGTTTTTGTGACAGATCGCTCGGTATTATAGACTCTAAGTCCATCCAAGTTGCTGTGAAATTCATAATTTTGTCCTTTTTAGGGCAGTGTAATATTGTGTATATGTATCATCTTTCTTTTTTTTAAGTTGGAGTCTCACTCCATTGCCCAGGCTGGAGTGCAGTGGCATGTTCCCAGCTACCACAGTCTCTACCTGCTGGGCTCCAGGATCCTTCTGCCTCAGCCTTCCAAGTAGCTGGAACTACAGGTGTGTGATACCACACCCATTGTAGAGATGTGGTCTCGCCAAGTTTCCCGGGCGGGTCTCAGACCCGCAGGCTCAGGCAGTCCACTCACCTTGGCCTCCCAAAATGCTGGGATTACTGTGCCAAGCCACCAAGCCCAGCCATACCACCTTTTTTCAATCCAGTTCTTTTTCAGTGGGCGGCACGGTTGGTTCCATGTTTTTGCTATTGTGAGCAATGCTGCAATAAACATACGTGTGAAGGTATCTTTTTCATAGAGTGATTTGAGTTCCTCCGGGTATATTCCTAGTAGGGGGGTTGCAGAGTTGTATGGAAGGTTGATGTTTAGATCTTTTAGGAATTACCACACTGTCTTCCACAGAGGTTGCATTAGTTTACACTCCCACCAACAGTGTAGAAATGTTCCCTTTTCCCTGCATCCTCTCCAGCATCTGTTGTTTTTTGAATTATTGATGATTGCCATCTTGACTGGAGTTAGGTGGTATCTCAGTGTGGTTTTAATTTGCATTTCTTTGGTGACTAGTGAGGTGAGGCTGAGCATTTTTTCATGTATCTGTTGACTGCTCGTATGTCTTCTTTTGAGAAGTGTCTATTCATATGTGTTGCCCACTTTGTAATGGGGCTGTTTGTTTTTTTATTTTCGGCACGTTGGAGTTCCTTATAGATCCTAGATGTTAGGCCTTTGTCAGACATACAGTTGGCAAATATTTTTTCCCCGTCTGTGGGCTGTCTCCTCACTCTCTCAATGGTTTCTTTGGCTTTGCAGAAGCCTATCAGTTTGATGAGGTCCCACTTGTCTATTTTATCTCTTATGGCATGGGCTCTTGGGGTTTTGATCAGGAATTAGTTGCCAGTTCCAATTTTCATAAGGATGTCTTTTGAATTTACTAAGGTTCTTATGGTTTGGTTTTAATTTTAGACCATTGATCCATTTAGAATTGATTTTTGTGTATGGTGATAGGTAGATATCTTGTTTTAATCTTCTTCATGTGGTCAACCGGTCTTGCCAGCACCTTTTACTGGATAGGTTCTCCTCTCCCCAGTGGTTGGTAGTGGAGGCTTTGTCGAAGATGAGTTGATTGAGAAATTGAGGTTTGCTTCTGGAAATTGTATCCTGTTCCATTGGTCTACATGCCTGTTTCGTACCAATATCAGACTGTTTTTTTAATTGTAGTATTATAATAAAGTTTAAAGTCTGAGAGTGTGATACTTCCCACTTTGTTTTTCTTATTGAGGATAGTTTTGGCTATTTGTGGTCATTTATGTTTCCATATAAATTCCTGTGTTGTTTCCAGACTGAGAAGAATGCTGCTGGTAATTTAGTGGGTCTTGTGTTGAATCTGTAGATTGCCTTGCATAGGACGGACATCTTCACAATGTTGATTCTTCCAGTTCATGGAGCCCGGAATATTTGTCCATTTGTTTGTGTCATCTTGGATTTCTTTGAGCAGCGTTTTATAGTTTTTGTTGTGAAGGTTTTTGACTAATCTGGTTAAGAAGATACCAAGGTAT